GAGTCCTCAGTCCCTTTGAGTGGTGGAAGTCACCAGGAGCCATTTCAATCTGCAGCACTGAGGCTCTTTATCAGTCCCTGGAAAAATACTTCTTGGGTCTGGCAGCTCCCAAGGCTTATGCTTGCTGCTCATCTCTTTGAAAGGAAAAAAGTAAAATAGCATTAAATCTCTGGCTGCCCTTTCAGATAGAGATAATTCGTGCTGGCTTCTGTCCCCTCTGTTCTCGCGCTCGAGTCCCTGTGACTTGGCTGGATGTGTGTCTGAGCTGGCTCCTGCAGCCTCCCTGCCCAACACTGGAGCTCACTCCCTGCCTGGGGTGCCTTCCTGCTCAGGAGGGATGTCCTGGACGTCCCTCAGGCACTCAGCCACTGTGAGTTGGCAGTGATTCCCCCCAGCACCCTCGCTGCCATGTGGGCTGATGGCAGCTCTCCTTGACAGCTCTGTTACAGTTGGCCAGGTGCCATTTGCATTTCTTTTAGCAACCTGTCATCTTTTGACAGGTCCCTTACGAAGGTTTTCAGTCCCACTTTCCACTGGCCTGTTCTCCCATCTCTCCAGAGATGCTGGGGAGAGCAGTGACAGGCATGGAGTCATGCTACAGGAATGCCATGGGGACCGAGCTTGTGATGTGTGGCCAGGCAGGCTGCAGGATCCCCTGGGCATATTTATATTGCTGTACAGGGGACTTGGGTTTTAATGTAACCAAGGAAAATCTTGGGCAGTGGTGGTCCTGATGGTAGGCTTCCCAGCTGGTGATTTCTAATTAGTTTGTATATGACCAATTACTTGTAATGTAGGGAGTTTGCAGAGCCCAAATCCCTGTGGTGTGTGTCAGAGTTCAGCCTTTTGCAGGCTTCCATTTTCTGTGAAGGATGTGCTCTGCTTTTGCCCTCCACAGGACAGAAGCATAGAGAGCATTTGGTGTTAATGTGAAGTGCTCTTCTCCTCTGTTATTAAAGATCCATCTGCACCTCCAACCCTGTCCTCATGGCCCCCAGGAGTGGAGGGCAGGTCTTGTTTTAGCCTTGCTGTGACTGACAAGGTTGTTTTGTCTGGAGCTCCTCCTGCTCTGTAACAACGGGCTATCTGCAGTGTGGGACTGTGGTTTCATGGCTCGAGGGCAGGGGAGCTGCTGGATGGAAGAGGAGCGATGGGGGCTGAGTGTGCAGGCATGGGACTCTTAATCCTGAAAGCAGGATTTTGCATGTATGAGTGACCCTGAAAGCTCTGTGATTCTCTCACCTTCCTATTGTAGGACAAACACCATGAGCTGTGTCTCAAGGATTTCAGAAGCATGGGCATGATTTTCAGCTGTTCCCCCCTTAATCCCCGTCTGAAATGAAGCTAAAGAGGGTTCAGTCCTGGTGTTTTCTGCCAAAAGCGATTGGGTTCTGCCTGGTGACTGCTTCCAAACCTCAGCTTGGCCTGTTGCCTTCAGGCATCAGACTGGTTGTGGGGTTTGACGTGGCACGTGTGCAGCAGCGTAGGCTGGAGCGGAGCAAGGGATGGGAGCGAGGCAGGGTAAGGCATCCTTTCCGGAGGGAGGGGAGCTGCTGGTTCCCAGGTTTCACCGAGTCAGCTAGTTCCCCTCCGTGGTGCAGACCCTGCCGCTGGCCCGGGAAGGGCTGTACGTATTTAGATAGCTCTGCCTGTTGGTTTTGGCCAGGGGCCCAGCACATGTGATGGGGATCCAGAGCCCCCCTCCTGGATCTGGCTGCCCGCTGCCTCCCTGCCATCTGCTGGGCTCTCCCCACCCCTCAAGGAAACACGGGGAGGGATCCGAGCAGCTGCTCCCCTCTTCCCGGCGGTGCTTCCCTTGGGTACGTGTCCCCGAGGCAGTGCTAGCTGCAGCCCTGGGAGATCCTCTTGCTCTTTCCATGGAAAAGGCCTGCTGGTGGTTTCTCTGTGTTATTTCTTTAAAGGACCATAGAAATTGGAGCTGGAGAAAACCCATGAAATAACTGTTTCCACATGCCCTCATCCACACAGCCAGGCCGGGAAAAAGCCTGTCCTCAGAGCAGCCTCTGCAGGATAAAGGGCTGTGGGAGCCAGTGATGGTGTGGCTCCTACCAGGACAAAATTGGGTTTGTTTGAGCTGGTACTTCATGGTGGCTGCTCCTGGCAGGACATGGTGCAGTGGAAGGCCGGGAGGGGATGCTTCAGACCAAGTGCAGTGCTTTAAAATCCGTCTTGATTATTGAAAGTGTCTTCCAAAAGCACCTGAGAAAGGGATGGTGCCTATGGGAGCTTGGTGCCTCATCATCTCAGGTCCATGTGAAAACCATTACCGAGTGGCCAACTGCACCATTCATACCTTTCAAAACCTGCACTTCTGTTGTCAGTTGAAGATACCACCCGAGTTACGTTTTCTGGTGTCTTTTTTTGCCATAGGACAGCAAGAACTGGATTAGGTATTGGCAGAGACCAGGATCTGTGGTGGTTTTGGCCACCAGAATACCTCAGTGGGATGGGGCAGAGTGCAGGACAAAGGGTATTTACAAGGAGAGAGGAACACAGCTTTACTGAGACAGTGTTCTTATAGATACTGAGGAGCTCCTGTTCCCATGGGCTTCCCCATCTTCTCTGCTTTCCACAAATAGGCACAGAGATGCCCCTGGAGACATTTCCGCTATCCAAATGGGATGTGCAAGACACCGTTATCCAGGCTCCTGGGAGATTTGCATTTCAGCAAAATCAGAGTGAGCTCATCAGCTGGGAGAAGTGCTCCTTCCCTCAGTTGCAAAGGGTATAATAAAGCATGGTGTGCCCTCAAATCTCATGGCTTTATTACTCTTAAGAGCTTTGAATTCATTTTGTCTTGAGCAAATCCACATCCTGATTAAAATCCCAGTCTAATAAGCTGTTGACTCCAAATAAAGGCAGGATAGGAATAAACAACGAAGAAAAGTTGGCTCTTCCTCCTGCCCCAGTGGAAGGCTTTCTCCAGGCAGCCAGCCAGCAGTGATATAACCCCGTAAAGTGCTGTAGACTGGGTAAGAAAGCTGGGATATCAGCTGAGCTTCCAACCAAAATGAGCTCATGCTGGCTTGATGGCGTGTCCTGGGGTGAGGGTAAAGGCAGCTTGGATGCTTACTTGGCGTCGTTAACGCTTAGTTTTCTGATGGCATGGTGGTGACTGTATGGATGCTGTCAGATACTTCAGAGGCCATGTCATGCAACTTTATCCGTTTTCATTGCAAACTGTGGCCAGCCAAGTTGTATTTGACCTGCTGAGGTCTAGAAGCATGTTCTTGAATGGACATTGTACCTGACCCAATGTACAGTACTTGTCAAGCCACTTTTGTGGTAAGTAAGCACAGTGTCTGGGCCTCCCTTGCAGCAAATCATAGTCCATCCAAGGTTCCACAGCTGCAACAGATGCTGTCTTGAAGAAGCCCTCTGTCTTCCTTGGGTTAATATGCAGAAAGAGCAGGTCTTTTGGCTCAAAAAAGAATTTGTGAATGGGGAGGGTTGTGATTAGCTGAATAAAGCCTGTAAGATGATGCTGAGTGAGTCAGATTTTGTCTGGGAGATGGTGGTGCCTGTGACACCCAGCCAGCTCACTGCAAGTCAGCAGAGCACCCGCAGCTGTGTTTGGGCTGATCATCTCCTTTAAGAGAAGTGGTCATTGAATTGCTGGGTTAAAAGTACTGAAGTTCTTTATTTTAGCAATAAGAACTTGCTTCATCTTGCTGCCTCTTTTTCCAACTTAATTTGGGATGATTCCACTGGAGAGAGTGTGTCATTCCTCAGGAGTCTTCCGAGTCTCCTCACCTTGGAGGGTCATGCAGCGTCAGCCCTCTGAGCAGCAGGGTGAGTTTTGATTAGACTTTTTTAGTACAGCATTTGAGCAGGTTTGATGAGCTCCAATAATTCAGTGTTGTGCTACCCATTTGAATCTCCTGGTGTTTGAGTTTCGATGTTGGGCTGGGATGTTGGACACATTCCAGGACCTGGAAAAATGCCAGGAACCTTGTGAAACTCTTAACAGATTCCATTTTAAATACTAAACCAGGATCCTAAGAGTCCTCACACTTAATTAAGTTAGCTGAAGTTCTAGCAGGTCTGTCCACCTGAGCTTCTGAATGTTTGTTCCTGCTTCAGTGAATCAACACTGGAATTACTGGTAGAAATAAGCAGGACATGACAGTTAGAAGGAAAAATGCACATGCCCTCATTCTGCGTAGCATTCTGCTTAGTCAATCTGTTATCAATTAGTGAAGACTGAGAGTGTTAAACTGGCATCTCATGGGGGGTCATCTTTGGTTTCTGTGAACAACAAGCAAGGACATTAGATAAGTAATTGCTTGATTCTGTTATTTGCTTCTTGTCTTTCATAGAAGAATAAAAAACAAAACAAAAAAAAGGCTTTTCTTCTTTTTATCCATCCATCACCAGTAAAAGCTTGTGAATAACCTGCAGTTACCAGGATTGACTGTGTGCCTGTTTAAGGAACAGGAGGTAATTTACACCCCAGCAAGTTTAAGTAAACAAAACCTCAGAGCTGCTTATGGCAGGACAGATGGAGTGTCACACCTTGTGGGTCTGAGTCTTTGCAAGCCCCAGCCCTGGTACCTGGGCTGGCAGTGGTGTGTGGTGCTGCACCCTATGGGCTTTGGGATCTCAACATCAAACTGGGTGCTGCAGCCATAGGTGGGACTGCCACAACATAGTTATTAGCTCGTAATGTGGTTGTATCTGGAGTAACTTTAACTGTAGTATTACACAGAAGCACCCTTTCACATTCGATGTATGTCCCTATTTAGGGATGGGGAGCTGTCTTAGTTCACAACTAGCAATAGGGATTTAGTAGACATCAGTGGAGCTTCATAATTTACACTGAAATATTTTCTTGTATTGCTGAAATGACTTCAGGTTCACCCATGAACTTCCCTGGTTGACATCCAGCAGTGGGGCTGTGCTGGAGCTTTAGCGGCTTTTGGGTTGTGGCACAGGTCATTTGGTCTCTCCTCTCTGATTTCTTCCTTTGTTCCCCACAGGTATACATTATCAAAGTCACCTGGTCCAATGGGTCCACAGAAGTCATATACCGACGGTACAGCAAGTTCTTTGACCTGCAGGTAAGCATTTCACCACTTCTTGGGGTTTGGGCTTGAAAGATGTGGTCAGTTGGGAAGCGTGGTTTCTACCTTACACTAAGCACACCTTTTGTCATCTCCCAGAAAATGTTTTGGTTCGAGGAAACTTGAATGCAATTTTGGACATCCTTGGGAAAACAAGAACAAACCAACCCCAAGAGCTGGACTCTTTGCTCCAGTGCCTCCTGTGCATTGGTGGGGACACCTGAGGTCTTTTGCGTGTCTCAAGTGTTACAGTTCTGCTGTCACTCCCTGGACCAATGCACACAGGGCTGTGTAGGTGCGTTTGAATTCCTGCAAATCTCTGCAAGCGGTGGGGGTGCTGTGGGGTTTTTTGTTTGCTTTGAAGGGATTTTGTTGAAGTTAGGCCCAAAGTCCATCCGCGCAGAGCAAATAAATACTGCTGTCCCAGCGAAACAGGGCTGCTGTTGACAAGTGCCAATTCCCTCTGCCTGTGTCCCGCTGGCTGGTGTTTTGGGGAGCAGGCACTGGGGAAATGCAGAGCACTGCCAGGCCAGAGGGCAGCTGCTTTAGCAATTACCTCCTGGTGCTGGGGGGAGCCAGGAAGAAAACGGAGTCAGGAGGGAGAGAGGAGGCTGGAAAGGCAATTGGGAGAGGCTGGGTTGCAGAAAACTGAAGCTGGTGTTCTGGGCGAGCAGGCAAAGGGTGTTTTCCACCCCCTCCATGGTGGAGATGAGCCAAGGGGTCTGGCCAAGCTTTATGGGCCAAAATACAGACGGAGCTGTTGGAACAGGCTTTGTGCAGATGAGGGAAGAAAATGCATGAAGGGATCTATGGACCAGCAGCAGCTGCCAGAGTTGTCACTGCCATGTCACATATGGTCTGTGCACAGGACTGGGAGAGGAGCTGGGCACCCTCTGTCTGCAGTGACCCTCTCAGGTGAAGCAGAGCATCACTTTATGCTTTATTTGAAAGGGTGCTATGGCTGCCTTTCCAGAAATTGCTGCATCCAGGCACAAATATGCTGTTAAAACTACAGCACATCTGGGTCTGTCCAACAAAGCAAGCCCATGGGAATCCAGATGGTTTTCCCAGGTTCAGCTGGCGTCAGTTCAACCTGCTAAGCCTAGGACTGTGTGGGACGGCTGCTCACATCTGTGATGCCCTGTCTCCTGCTCAGCAAGGCACCTTCTGCAGGGCCATGGATATGACTGTGAGGGTGTGCACATGGAGTAAACACTTTGAGAGCCCAGCTTTGGCAAGACCCTGGGTGTCCTTACCCTGCCCCATGATGCTGTTCCGCAGCATCGTGCCAGGCAAGGTAAGGTAGGGTGGCACAAGGGCGGCTGCTGATGCAGGCAGGGGTTAAGCTGTGTGCAGCTGCTTGTGTAACCAAGGAAATATTAAAGTAAATAAACAGGGAACAGCTGTTGGGCCACAGCCAGGGCTGGAAGGAAATGGAGCTCAATGCTTCCTTCTCTGCAGCATCTTCACTGGTGCTGCGAGGTGGTGGCCAAGCCCATGCCATCATTTGCTGCGAGGTAGGCACAGTCCTTTGGAGTTTATATGTGATAAACTTGTGCTTCCAGATGTGCTGTTTTCCTGGTCTGCCTTGCTCCTCGTGGGGAAGGATATGTAGGGAAATAGTGGCTGTCCTTCCTCATTTCCTCCCCTTCCATCTTGGCTGGAGCTGTGCATGCTCCTAGATGGAAAGCGTCATCACTGGAGAGTGTGTGAAGCCAGAGACTCAAACTGCCTCTGCAAAACACCTTGCAGCATCTTTAGAGGCAGAGATGCTTTATGTATAAATGTATATTGTGTGTTTATATATACATATGTATAAATATATAAATATGTATAGCTTCCCATACATACATAGGAAGGTATAAAGCAATCATGTTCCCCTTCCCTGTTCCCTGTAGCTTTTTCTTTAAAAAAGAAATAACTGCTCCTTTTTGGCTCTGTTGAAAGAATGAATGAAGTTGTGGGTTTTCCCTTCCTTCCCCCTTATCGCACATGCTTCCTGGTATCCTTATGTTAAACTTGTGGTGCAGTACAGTGGAAATTGGATTGAAAGGCAAGGAGTGAAACAGAACCTCTTAGCACAGTGGAAAAAATGCTCTAGGTAGGATTGGTAGCATTGACTGTTGCTATTGCTGGAGGCCTTTATTATATGACTGTTGGATGATTCTGTGCCAAATTTAGCTCTTTAGGCAGAAATTTTCCATGCTGGAAATTATTCATGCTTTTGGTTATTAAAAGTAGAAAACCACCCAAAACCCCCACAAAACAACTGATTGGCAAAAACGGTTCAGCTGCTTCTGAAGGCATAGTAAGAGGGGAAAATATTTCTTCTGGGTCCAGTTCTGATGATCTTTTTGCTGTGTTGGAGAAAGAGTTGGAAACTTGATCACAGGTGATCCCTGTGTCAAGAATCTGTCTTTCCTGTTCTCCAGTGAAAATCCATCCAAATTTAATCATACTTAGGGCCTTGAGCAATCACAGAACATGCATGTTTGGGTAGAGATATTTGTTAATTCCATATCTATGTTCCCAGTGATTCTGGCTGCACTTTCCATGCTCCTGCCAGAGGCTGAGCAGGGTTTTGGTTTTTCTATAGCAGCTCTGGCCACATTTGGGTCAATGTTGGTGCACCCTCTTTTGCTGTCAGTGACCCTCCTGATTAACCCAGCCAGGAGGACAAGGAAGCCATTTGATCCAGGTAGGGGAGAGGAGAAGAACGTCTTGGGCCAGAAGTGAGGACTGACCCTGGGGAATGATGTGAAGTTGCAGTTTGGAGCAGCGCAGGCACCACCATGTGAGTGGCTGGGGAGTTTCTCTTGATATTCCCTGTGGAATATCCCACAGCTGGATCGCTTGTCACCTTCCATTGTGGCCAAACAGTTATTTTAGGAGTAGGGCCAAGTAAAACACACGCACGCTTAGTACTGACAGCCTCGCCGGCTGGGCTGCTCCCACTGCAACCAGAGGGCAAAGTGTCCGTGCCTCCCCAGCCAGGCAGGAATGACAAAACACAAACTGCCAGCTCAGCTGAAACAGGGATGAAGCCTGCCGTGTATGCAGCGCTGGTCTCTGCCGCATCTGGATGCAAAAGCATCAGACCAGCCATGTTCCCCGTACTGGAATGGGGTATGTCAAAAGCCACCTTGCTGGTCACAGTAATGCCGCAGGCTGTGCTGCTATTAGCTGGGAGAGTTTAAGGTGTTGTCTGAAAACAGAACTTTCAGAGCTCTTCCCTTTGGCTGTCATTGATACCCGAGGGTGGGCCTCTTCTGTAAAAGTCCTAGTTTATAGCTCACTGCTGTGAGCTGTAAACAGCCTTCCCAAGCACCACCCTGCTGTCCTCTTCCAAGGGTGTCAAGATCTTCTTCTGCCTAATTGCATGCTTTTGTCCCATTGCCCACGGTCACACAGGAGATTGTCACTCCCTTGCCAAGAGCTGGTGATCAATGTTCATTCTGCAGTTCAGCTCCTGTGTCTCAGCATGAGGCACAGGCTGCTTCGTCCTGGTCCAGTGTTTTGAGCAGATGAAGCAGTGGCCCTCATCCCTTGGGAAGTGTGCAGGTCACACCCTTTCCTGCTCTGGGGTCATCAGAGGAAGACTTGGTGTACTATGCTAGGCAGTGAAAATGGGAAGGGAATGCTTAAGCTGAGGAATACCGCCTCCACCTCCTATACACTGCTCACTGCAGGAGGAAGCTTTCAGCAACCTGGGCAGTGGTCAGGAGTGGTTTTGCTGTGTGGGTTCTCTGTGTTCGGATTCCTACCACCTCTCCTCCTTGCTTTCTCCATAAATGTAAATTGTTGTGTGACAGAAAACATAAGAGCAACTTTATAGGGATTAAATACAAACCCTAGATGAAAATTGTAGTTCTGAAATGTGAAACCTCAAGTATGATTCGTAGTAAATTTGTAACTACAACTACTAAACTCAGTTCTGCATGAATCTCTTGGCTGGAGGAATAATTTCCTTAGAACAGGACTGAGAATCTTTCGTAACCCTCAGTATGCCAGATGTGAGCTATTGGGAGCAGATGGATGCTGTTCCGAAGAAATAAAGGCAGTAAGATTGATGCTTGCAAGGATGCCAGTTGTATTCTGGACACTAACTGGGGCTGGCAGGTACGCTGGAAATGTTAGCTGGCATGGAAGTTGGTAATCAGATATGTGAGTGGCTGTCCCTGGATAGATATAGAGGACTGGGGTCTTGCATGCCTGAGAGATGCTTCCAGCCCTGCTGGTGAGGGAAGAGCCGTGCAGTGACTACAGGGCTCTGTTGGATCACACTGGATGCATCACTCGGGAGGAGGTTAACAAGTCTCTTGGAAAGATCCTCTTTAAACCGTTGGCTGTAAGAAGCCACACTCTTGGTTAGAGAACAGATACTGGCTTGTATTTTGTGTTTCTTTTATGGAAACCCCCAAAAAGAAACATTTTTTCCCCACTCTGTAATTATGAGCTCATCAGCCACGATGGTGGTTGTTTCAAGTCTTCATGTGACCAGGAGCCACTGTTGTCTTGCTGCGCTTCTAAAATGTCCTCTACATCCAAACCCTATGCTTTTACACCTTTACCACTATTACTGAACCCCAGTGCTTTCCCCGGGCAGGAGTTCTGCTCCATGTCCTCAACCTCCTCTGCCTTTCAGCTGCAGCCATGCTCTCCTCAACCAGGAGTCTTTGCCTGGCTCTTCTCAGTCCTGCCTCGTTTTGTACCCCGGACAGCAAGGCTTGTGGCTTTGCAGCTGGGAGCAGACTTCACTGGTCACAAAGTGAGCTGCTTGCGAGCTGTGATGGAGCCACGTCTCAAAGCTCCCCCTTGGAGCAGGCTTTGCTGTTCATGCCATGTCCTGCCTTTTTATCACTGAAGCAGCTCTTCTGGCAGGCAGCTGCAAGCCCTTAAAAATGAAACTGCCATTCATGGAATCATAGAATGGTGGGGCTGAAAAGGACCTTAAGATCATCCAGGTCCAACTCCCTGCCGTGGGCAGGGACACCTGA